CATGTGCCTGCCCAGCAAAACGGAGCTTTTGGCTTTTAAAACATCAACATCCAATTTACGAAAAAATGTGGCGGTAAGTTAGTTATCATGGTGTTGTCTGTTGGACAGTAGGATAGAAAATTGTTTGCACTTTATGGTTCAGGTTGCGACTGTCCTTGTGCTGTGAGGAAGTAGGTTCTTTAGCCCAGCTGATCTTTTGCAAGTGTGGATGTCCACTAAAATACGCCTTGAAATCGATTAAAACACCTTGTGCTCAATTTGATTCATGACTCATCCTTTTTTGCATTAAATAACTCAAAGTAACTAAGTAACTTTTACTCAAATTACATTTTAAATGAAGTAATTTATGAAATAACTTTTACTTGAGCAAATTTTGAGATGGGTAATTTTACTTTTACTGAGTAGAATTTAGGCAAAGTAAAGATACTTTTACTCAATTACAATTTTTTAGTACTCTTTCCACCTCTGAAACTGAGTGTTTACTGCGGTTGAGGAATTATGCTTTGAGGATAAACTATTTTAAAAAATCCCATCCAACTCCTTACTTTTAAGTTTAATTGGAATCTGTTGCATTTTATCTTTTCATTCCAGGTTCATAGAAAAGGGAAATGGGTCAAAATTGGAAATGGCAGTTCAGACTTCAAAGATAAACTGGAAATGGATATGTAGCCTGGAAAGGGTTAATCGGGGCATTGGTTTCGTTTGATTGGGACTGGTTTTGGTTGGCAGAAAGGGACAGAATCCAGTTTGACTTCAGGAACAGAGAGCGGCAGAGAGAAGGGCGTGGAAAACATGTCGAGACAAGATGGAGGTGAAGGTAGTTCTTAGAGAAATCACAGCATGTCACCTCACACACGCACGCATCAGCACACAATCAGCCGCATCCTTTGCTTGGATCCACGCAGGAAATGGGTCTTCTAGTCTGGAATGGCTCCAAAGAACAAATAAGATGCTGACTTTGATTTTTTTTTTTGCCACTTGTGTCTGGAAAGCACCTTAAAAATCTGATAGATCAAAGTCTGTATTGTCAAACCCTGTGACTCACGTCTAGAAACAAGGAAACAAATCTCACTTTTCTCACGCCATGAACTTCCTGATGGGAATGTGTTCTAATGCAGATGTGTGTGACGGAGGTAAGCGCCTCACCTGTGCGGTGAAGAAGGCCGGGGTGAGGGAGCCGGAGGGGAGCGCCGGGCTGTTGAGGGCGATGGAGCCGATGTCGCTCCCCGCCAGCAGCAGGGACGGGCTGGAGATCTCCAGAGCTTTAGGCTTTTTGCTTTTGGGTGGGAGTCCATCTCCTTGGTCACTGGAGACGCTCCTTCCCCTGCTGCTGCTCCTCTTTTCAGGAAGCTGCAGGGCTCGCTCCCTGTGTCCCGAGGAGAGATTGAGCGGCTGAGCGTTCTGATCCGAGTCCTCCTCTTCCTCTTCCTCATCAGAGGGGCTCCAGCTTCGCCCCGGTTGGGTGTGCGGCGGGGAGGACGGGGAGTGGGAATGGGAGGGGAGTCTGGACGCCCTGGGGGAGATGTAGCATTCCGTTTTGACAGAAGGAGGGGAGCTTCTGCCGCCGGCGTTGGTGCCAAAGCGGATGACTGAGCGCGGCTCCTCCTGACGCTCACGCAGGCTGTTCTGCAAGGAGCTGATGTGGAAGGACGAGTAGAGGCCAGAGTGGAGGTAATCCCTTTGGCACTGCTGCACCCGTAACCCCGCCAGGGTCCTCCTCTGGGCCTCCTCCTCGATATCCTCCTCTTCCTCCAGTTCCGCTTCCAGCTCAGGGGCCTCGTCCTCCTGGAGGGGGAACCTCCCGGAGGCTAAACCCATCTCCACCGCCTGCGGGTCCATCTTCAGGATCTCAGGGAAGGACACAAACTTATAGACAAACTTCTGGCCAATCACCTTTTTGATGATGTTCTGCAACATAAAAATTAAAGTAATTGTTTTGCATTAGAAATGTTGAGAAGCTCTAGGTAACATTTATGGACAAAAGGATTCAATTTATGTAATGTTTTTGCTAGATGTTAGGCTCCTGTGAATATTATTTTTGTAATTGTTATTTTGCTAAGGCTAACAATTAGGGGCCGGGATGTTAAGAATTAGATTAATTTATTTTTTGAAAAATTATTAATGTTAAAGATCTAAGGTTGTGTGAATGGTAGAGCTATTGTTTATTTATTTATGTATTGGTTTGACTTTGACTCTCCTCCTTGTCAGTCCGCCTCCTGCTGAGATTAACAAGTAGAAGCAGCTGATGAGGTGGATCTGATTGTTTCTTTTCACACACATCACTTAACTTTATATTTGAATTTTTTGTAAGTCAACTCTGAGAATATTTCTGTTATTTTTTTACACCCCTTTTTTGAAACAAGAAAATTCTCCAAGGTGCTTTTTGTTTTGTGAGTCGAAAAACCTCCTCCTAAGACTACTCTGGCAATTTTTGATTTTTTTTGGGAAACTATTTTGATGCAAGAGTAGCCGTAACAGTCATTGAAGACAAAAAGGTAGCAGCTGCAGGAGTTTATGGTTTTAGTACGGTGGCCCTGAAGTGCAAACTGCAACTACAAATCTAAAGGCGCAACTACATTAAGTAACTCGCAACTACATAAAGCAAAGTGCAACTACATTAAGAAAATCGCAACTACATAAAGCAAAGCGCAACTACATTAAGAAAATCGCAACTACATTTAGTAAATCGCAACTACATAAAGCAAAGCGCAACTACATTAAGAAAAACAAAACTACATAAAGCAGTTGTAGTTGCAGTTTGCACTTCAGGGCCACCGTAGTTTAGAGAGGAGAATAAATTGTATTTTTTAAGAAACCGTTATTTTTTATCTTTTAGCTAAAACCCGCTGCAGGGTGGCGGGGAGTCAGACTGCTGCAGAGGAAGAGGTAAGCAGCTCATGATTTGCTGAATTAACCTTGTCATAGTAGTAGCGCAGGGCTCTGCTCAGCTTGTCGTAATTCATGTTGGTCTTGTTTTTGCGCAGCCCCCACAGCTTGGCCACCTCCTCCGACTTGAGGAGCTTGAACTCGCCGTCCGTGGACGTCCAGCAGATCAGGTGCTTGTGACTCTGGTCCAGCAGCAGCTGCAGCAGGAACTGCCACAGAGTGATGGCGCTGTCCATACCTGCAACGAGCAGAAGGCGTCAGTTTACTTTTCTGATGCCGATGCGTTTCTTACCAACATGTTGAGCTGCAAGCAGGCTGCAGTCAGGGGGGGTGGGGGTTATGAATAGAACAGTGTGTGTAAAAGAATATGGTGTAATGTAGCAGCAGCAGCAGGAGAGAGAAAGAGAGAAAAAAAAAATACAAGGAGGAACAACAGCTCAAGCCAGAAATATGCTGCGGTTCAACCTGGCCCTCTCTCCACAGGAAGCATGACGGCCCAGGGTGGGTTATTCCTTTAATAGAGGAATGCGCTGCCTTCAAGCTCCCGTCTGCCGACTACCAGCTTTCTGTCCCCAACGACTTGACCGCAGAAAAATCCAAAATCCTTTCTGCTCTAATTCTCACAGATAGTGGCGCCAATGTGCGGCTCAATTTACCAGGTGTTTTTGTTTATTTATTTCTAGATAACTTAAAGAGAATCGATTGGAAAACGCAGCTGGTTTGTGTTACAGTCAGAAGAGTTTGGAGCTCAGTAACGCATTGTTTCATTAATAACAGATTAAGACCGAAACATTTCATGGAAATGAGGTATTTAAATTGTCACGTGATTCATTGTTGTAACAACAAACTGTATCTTCAATCTGTGACTTTTGTTCTCAAATATTAATGCATAATAGAAAAAAAACGCTGCTTGGTGAGAAGTATGCATATGTCTAGTGATTGAAACTTTAACTAGGCCATTCTAACACACAGATATGATTGGTCCATTGCAGCTTTGGCCTATTATCTTGGATGTTTTGCCCTGTTTTCTCTAGTGTTGAGCTAATGCCATTTTTTCGCCCTGATACCAATAACCGATACCTGGCTGTGCAGTATTGGCCGATATCGATACCATCTGTTTGAAATTGATGTGTGTATATATGAAGAACTGCATACTACCTGGATGTAAAATATTGCCATCATGGCTTTGTCAAGCTGCTGCCTACCTTTGTGAAGCAGGAAAAAGACTAATACAAAGAGAACCCAACTTTGTATTGCCTACCTGGAATGGGTGACAATAGTTCAATAAACTTTTGCATCTCAAAATGGTATCTTTGCCCTATTTGTCGGTACTCGCCAATACCGATGCTACCATTTTAGTGCTGGATCGCGGCCCTGCCAGATACTGGTGTCCGTATCGGTGTAACACTAGTTTTCTCTCACCACCTTACTTGTCCCTATTCCCACAGCATGATTCTGCCACCATTGTTTATCATGGTTAGGATAATTCCAAAAAAGTAAAAAAAAAAAATAAAAAAAACACAATCCGCTGGACTTTTTTCCCAACTTTGAAGACGTTTCGCTTCCCAGCCAGGAAGCTTTTTTTAATTCAAAATGTCAGAATTAGCATCGAGTTCCAATATTTATAGAGTGGCCCAAATGAAGTCTTGGTTTAGAAACATCTAAATTGAACCGGAAGAACGAGTCCACCCATCAGTAATGGGGAGTCATTGAGATCTTTGTTAGCCTGCAATACCCGATACTGGCCTATGCTTCTGAAAAGTGGGAGTCGTTAGGGGCATTGTTGGCCTGGCTGACCTGGTTAAAGACCTAAACGACTCCCCATTTCTAAGGGGCGGACCTGTTCTTCCGGTTCAATTTGCATGTCTTTTAAGCCAAAACAAGGCTTTGTTTGGGCCACTCTATAAAACCTAAAATTTAACTGTATTTCTGACATTTTGAATTGAAAAAGCTTCCTGGATGGGAAGCGAAACGCCTTCAAACTTGGAAACAAAGTCCAGTGGATTATTTTTTTTATTACTTTTTTGGAATGACTCTGACCTGAATTCCTAGTGAATCTTGACCAGCACGTTAGGATAGGATGTTCAATAAAAGAGAAGCAAAACACTGAATTAGAAGCACAGGCTACACTTTGTTAGATTTTGACCATTTCTTCACTATATGGCTGTTCTTTATGGATTTTTCTTAATTAAACATATTTTTTGTATCATTTTTCAATAAAATACAATAATTTTGTTGGTTATGAGGACAAGACAATGTGATAGGAAGCCACTGGTTACACTGAATATTAGAAAATATGTCTGCTTTTTACCTAAGAGGCAAAAAGTAAAATAATTTAACAAAAAAAAAGAAAAAAGGGAGAAGCTTTTTGAGCTTCCAAAGAGGGCTGGGACCGATTTCCGACCCAAACTATCCCCTAGAGTCTCCTGTTCGCCACGCGAAACTACAAACCTGTCAAAGTCAGGACTTCCTCCTATTCTAGTTCCAAGGACAAATGGTGAGGTGAGGGGATCCCACAGCAGGGGTGCGTTTCCCCGCTTCAGCTACGCTTCCCACTACAATCCCAGGTCAAAAGATCACATCATTGTCCGCTCTTCTCAGGTCCACCCAACGACCCGCTCTGAACTTCACTTTTGACAAAGACTGAAGCAACGTTTGCATGAAAATCGTAAATAGTGGAATTAGCTTTGCTTCTTCTGTTCCTGCTTGTCTGTGACACCACCCTGGAAAGAAATATCAGCTGTGCTGCTGCCATTAACACCTTTTATAGACGTCTGAGATCTGCCTGTTTTTCAGTGTAGTCCTGTTTCTCTGACTGTGACTAACTGGATGTGCTGTCTTCATCCTCTGACTTGGGAGCTGGCTCAAAGCTCGTCTGCCTGGCTGTGTGTTTCCTTTTACAGTTTCTCTTTGTATTTCTGCTTCTGTCTCCTTGAACCCCAGTGGGCCTCAGCAGATGGCCGCTCACACTGAGCCTGGTTCTGCTGGAGGTTTCTTCCTGTTTAAAGGGAGCTGTTTCTCTCCACTGTCGCTACAAGCATGTTTAGTGTGAAGGATTGCCTTCAAGTCGATGAGTCGATGCAATCAACTGGTTTTCCTTAGATAGAAAACCTTGAATCAATTTGATTGTATGATCTGATGAACTGTAAAGTGCCTTGAGATGACGGGTGTTGTAAATTGGCGCTATAGAAATAAACTGAATTGAATTGAAACCCAAAAACAGATGAAACATCTTTCGCCGGTTGGTCAGGAGATGCAGCATGTATAGGAATTGGGAACTTGAACATTAACACTTCCTGTTGCACAAACTCCAAACTGACACAGTGACCTGTGAGAAAACAGCTTGTTACTAAAAGCCTTTGAGATTTGCAAGGTGCAAACAGGATCCTGCTCTTTCCAGGAACATCACTGCTGAGTTTTTGGGGAGGAGGTGAGGATGAGGAGTCCTGCTGCTGATGCTCGGATGATGAAGGTCTCAGATTGAGCACAAAGCCACGCAGTGTTGGCTGAAGTGAACATCCTAATGAGATTAGATGCTGTATGCAGACATTACTCAGCTCTGAGCAGATCTGCTGTCTTCCTGTTGGCTGGAAAAGCCAACATGAAGCCGTTTGCTGATCTGCTCCACATCGCAGAGGTTTATCCATTGCTCTGTCCCTCTCACTCATTTTCAAGATGTTCCCCGGACCGGAAGAAAGCACCGCGTCGTGTCCGACTTTAATTTCTTTTACTTTTCTAACTGAAAGCAACTATTTCTTAGAAGTTCAGCATAAAGCAGAAGTCTAGTCTGAATTCAGAAGCTCCGCTGCTACTTCTCTGTCTGCATCTATAAACGCCGCCTGTTAGCAAACAAAGTCCGCTTTGTGTTCAATAAATCATTAAATAAAGAATAAAGCGTCAGTTTTTGTTGAGTTTACCTGCGATCTCTCCGGCTGGGTTTCTTCTCTCCGCGGAACTTTACGTCGATGCCTGTGTGATCCCTTGTTTTTCCATGCTGACTCCTGGTCTGCACAGTTGTGTTGGGCTGAAATCGGATCCTGGGCTTTTTCTTTTTCTGAGCAGGAAGTTGGAGCAGCAGACGCAGAGCCGGCTGACTTCCTCTCCCCTACGATTCCCCAGGCAGTTAGCCGTCTGTGTAAACACACTTTTCCTACCCCTCCTCGGCGGCCAGCAGTGGGCCTACTCTCTGTCGGAACACACGCTGGCGGAAACTCCTACAGTCCGTGAACTGACATCACCCGTTAACGCTGTGATGCTTTCAGGGACGGCTAAAAAAAAGAGGCCAACTGGCCCACATTAAGAAGCATAGTAAAGTGTGAGATTTAATTCAGGGTTTATTTACATATTTAAAAAAAAAACATTAGACGCATACAATAAATGGCATAAATAAATTAAAAATAAAAAGGTGGAAGATAGTTCCTGCCCAAGAGGTGTCCCTGATTTCATTTTTATGAAGGTGGCAACTGGGTTTTCTTTCCATCCATCACCCATCTATCCATTCATCCGTCCATCCATCCATCCATCCATCCATCCATCCATCCATCCATCCATCCATCCATCCTACCTAAAAACCAACCCGTCCGTCTGTCTATCCATCCATCCATCCTACCTAAAAACCCATCCTTCCACCCACCCAACCATCCATCCACCCACCTACCTCCAGCTACTCTAGAGGGACCGTATCATCATATACTCCCTCCAGTGTGTCCTGGGCGTTCCATGAGGCCTTCTCCCAATAGGACATGCCTGGTTACCTCCTGTGGGAGGCGACCAGGAGGCATCCAGAATAGATGCCCGAGCCACCTCAGCTGGCTCCTTTCCACATGGAGGAGCAACGACTCTACTCCACTATACTCTGGAAGTTATTATATATATATATATATATATATATATATATATATA